GTCTTCTTAAATGATTGCTTTTTGAATGAAAAACACATTTTATAATGATATTTGGGTCATAATTTATAAATCTTTTTTAATGAAAAATAAGTCAATTTCTTAGGAACATAACTTAGGCTCTTGCCAAATAAAAGTAGCAACCATTTATTCTAAGTTTATTAGAAGAGTTAATCAAAATTTGATAAGTTAGATAAAGTTTTCGTTTTTGTTAAGAAAAAAGATTTAAGAAAAATAAAAGAGAAAACGTTATTTATATATTAGAACCAAAAGAATGATCTTAAAAATTACAAAAATAAAACAAATGATTTAAAAAAAACTAAAAAATATAAAAGGGTGATGTCATTACAGGGTAAAATTGAAATTAAAACTATTCAACGTATTATTGCACCTACTTTTTATGTACGTTCAATTGATTTAGATGAGAGTATGGTTAGAAGAAATGGAACAAAGTCAACATTATCTATTAATGTATCATTTCCACCGTTTATATATTCGAGTTATGACATTCAAACAAAGAGAAATTTAAGGTTTGTTCAAAGGTTTGAAAACTCAAACAAAAAGAATAGAATGCAGTTATTAATTATTGATAAAGACATGAAAGTTATTCACCCTAGTAATATTCGTATACGAATAAATAATGAAACAATTAGTACAAATTGTTTTGGTAATATCCCAAAGAAAGGAACAGCATTTATTGAGGGAATTGATATTACAGATTTCTTATTTATGGGAAAAAATATTATTAGTGTTGAAACACTTTATGATAATACTCGTGTTGTGTTATTTGAAGGACTTGCATTAACAATTAATCAAACCATAAATAAATTACTTCATGAAATTCCTCATGGTAAGTTTGTTCCTGACGTTGATTTAGATAATGATGATGTGGATGATGAAATAATAGAAGAACAACAAGTTTTATCATTGCGTTGTCCAATTAGTTTCCAAACTATTGAAATTCCAGTACGAGGAAAGAGATGTTCTCATTTGAGGACATTTGATATGAAATCATTTATTGAAACTGCACAAAAATCAGGATATTATGAATGTCCATTATGTTCTGAACCAATACAACCGAGTGACTTAATTATTGATCAACAAATGGAATCAATATTAAAAGAAATGAAAGATAAACCAAATGTTGAAGAAGTTGTTGTAACCCAAGAAGGTCAAATACTTCCAAAAGTTGAAGAAAATAATGAATTGGGAGATGATGAAGAAGAACTTCGACTATTAAAAAAAGGAAAAGAAAAAAGAGAAAAAGAGTATGAGCCGTTTGGAGATAAACCTCTTCAATTTAAACCTAATACACATCCTCCTAAAGAAACATATTATGACAGGCACACTGCTCCAATACCTAATCCTTTTATACCTGAAAAAAGAGGGTATTTGGATTTACCTAATGAAAGAAGAAATGAATTGTATAATCAACAAAACCAAATGCCTCTATATTATGTATCTCCATATAATTCTACCCAATCACCACGTCAAGAAATTCCTCTGACAAATCCTCAACATTATCCTTACAATACTTCTGAATATCATCAACGAGTTTATAATTATCAAAATTCTCCTAATTTTTATCCACCTCCATCGTATATTTTTCCTCCTGATGAACAACCTTTAAATTATCAACTAAATACACCATATAATTATATAGGATCATCAACAAATCCACATTATCGACAAATAAGAGCATATCAATATCCACAAAGACAATACATTATTGATGAAGCAACAAAACCTCATTCGATTAGTTCAAGTAATACATACCGAAATAACTTTCAAAATGCAATCAGAACAGGTAATACAAATGTTTTCAGAAATTATGACCAACCCCAACAACATGATGACACATTTACAACAACCCAAACTGATGATACTCTTCCGAACGTAACATATTCTACTCATTTAGAAACAATGGGAGGATCACCTGATGATCCAATTTGTCTATAAGTTGCATATGATTAATTGAATATATATTAGAAAATTTAAAAACTTAAAAGGTTATTTGAAGCTTTTAATTGATGGTATTGAGTTCAGTCTTCTACATGTTTAAATGAATGAAGGTACTCCTGAATTTCCTCCTCCAATATCTGAGTCAAAATCAAATCCCCAATCATTGTTTGATTTCTTTGGAGCTGGTTTAGGTTTTGTTGCAGGTTTAGGTTGGTTTATAGGTGTAGACGTATATCCACCATATGCAATTTGTGGTTGTTTACTCTTTGTTTGTTTCTCAAATGATGCAGCCCATGAGTCCCAGTCATCTGCTTGAACAGTTGGTTTGGGTTGGCTTGGCTTATTTTGTTGAGTTGGTTGTTTAGGTTGAGTGTTATTCTCCTTTTGAGTTGGAGTGGCTGTAGTTTGTGAAGGAGTAACGTTAGATTGAGCTGGTTGTTGAGGAACAGCAGACTGAGGAGTAAATGAAGTAGATTGACCACTAAAGATAGGAATTTGATTCGTACTTTGATTAGAAATACCAAGGCTAATATTATCTCCTTCTTTAGGATATTTAGGAACATAAGAAGGATTATCTAATGTCATAGCATATTCTCTCACAATAATAGCAATAACGTCCCAACATTCTATTGCTGCTTTTCTTACTTGAGGGTCAAGATCTAATAGTGCTTGTGATAAATATGGGATAACTTCTTTTGCACAAACAGCTCCATCAATGGCATATTTATTTTGTGAAACCATTATTACTGCTGCTTTCTTCATATCAGCAACTCCATCTTTCATACTTCTAGAGAAGGCAGATGCAACTAATTTAGCTTTTTTATCATCATTAAATCTGTTAGCTATTTTACCAATACAAACAACCGTATTGATTCTAACAACACTTTCTGGATCTTGTAATGCAGCATCAAGAAATCTAAATACCTCTCCATTTAATGTGCTTTGTGGTAATTTAGGTGCAAGACATACTAATGATCTTACAGCAGCATCTTTCATTGACCCTGTTGCTTCTGGTGCCATAGATTTAGAGAGCATTGGATAAAGATAATTACCAACTATATTCTCGGATAATTTATTAACATATAAACTGGCATGTGCAAGTAATGCAGATTTAATAATAGGTGTTCCATTTTGGAGAAGTAATTTAATCGTAGGAAGAACGTCTGAGTCAAAGTCTTCTTGAGAGATATTAGTAGTCAATCTCATTGTTGGTTCAACGACAGTGACTGACTCATTCTTTCCTATTTTCATAATTTCAAGGAAGGATTCAAGAAGTTTATATTGTCTAAATGAAGGTGGGAAAGTATCAAACTGAGTAGCTAATGAACGAAGGAATGAATCACGAACAAAGGCGTCAACAGTAGAGAAGTGTTCAAGAGTATTTATTATTGCAATAAATCTATTTTGAGTGATAAATGGAATTGTTAATAAAGAAGCAACTGACTGTCTATCAACATGATTTACTGAGTCAATAGATTTATGAAAAGCAGATAATTCTACTGGAATAGATGGTGCTTGAGCAACCATAGATTTTTTAGTAATTGGAGTACCAAAAAGATAACATAAAACCCCAGCAACACCCCAAGAGTCAACACCTTGAGCGTTTTGTTTATAATTATTAGGATCAGGTGGTAAATAAACTTCATCAAGAATTTGAGGATCTGTCTGAATTCTATTCTCAAAAGGAGAATTATTTAATGAAGAAAATTCACTTAAATATTCTAATCCAAAAATTTTAACTTCTAAAGCTTTAGTTACATATAAAGAAGTTGGTTTTATATTACCATGTAAATAACCTTTTGTATGAAGATAATCAACACCACGAACAAGATTATATACAGCCCAAATAAGAAGATCTGGACTCTTTCTTATATCATTAATTTTATTACTAATAGGATACATTTCTTCTGTAATAATTGTAACTTTACTTCCACTTTCATTTGTTTCATAAATTTTAGGTAAAGCTGGACAATTTAAATTTTTTAATTTTTTAATTAATAATTGTGGATAATTCTGTTGTTTATTTGACTTATAAAAATTTGTTTCATATGTAAATGTAGTTCCTTTTGTTCTATCAATTTTTCTAACTGATTGTGAAACTTCACATTGAATTGTAGAATTATTAATTGTTTGTATTTGTGACTTAGTCTCAAATGGATCTCCAATAACTGCTTTAGTAACTTGGCTTGGATCTGAGAAGATATTCTTAAAGAAATTCATTTATTTACTTATTTTTCAGTTCTATGACAAATTTCTTCGTCAATTCCTTTAATTTTATTTGTTAATTTTCTTTATTAATTTTATTATTATAAATGACACGTCATCATCAATTTAAAATGAAGATCTTCAATAAAAATTATTCATAAAGTTCATGCAAATGATATTGTTATATCAATTTTTAAGTTAATTGATTTATTATTGTTTGCGAGAAAAATTAAAGATAGAAGTTATTTATATCTTTTGGTATAAATAAAAGAGAATCTTTGAATATTATTATATTTATAATTTTAAGAAATTTAATTTTATCTCTTATTCTTTTTAACATTTATTTGTTTATTTCTTTTAATAATATAAATGAAATCATTAAAAAACCGTTTAAATAGTCTAATTGAAAATTTTCTTATATTAATTAAGGTATTATTTGATATGTTGCATT